ATGCTTTTGAATCCATTTCCTTTAAACTTTGTTCTGTGTTACAATAATTAACATGAAAAATCACATAAACATCCGTTTTATGGAGCGAGAACTAAGAGTCACGAATAAGGCACGCTATTTATATCACGTGGTAGAAAAAAAAAAGATCAGCTTGTTAACGTTCGATAATCTCAGGTATTTTCCTTACACACATATATACATAAGAAATCCGGTAATGTTGGAGCTTGAAAAGTAATGATCCATAACACGTAATCCGTTCGTCAGTTTCAAAAGTACCCGTGCATCACGCGGCATTAAACGCCCTTCTTTGGCATCTGCTTCACGTACTTTGATGACCTGCTCGCTTACTTAATTCCTCCTTTGCGGTTTTAAGGCGGAAAATTTATAATAGCTGCCAAACTCGAACGTGTGCGATTGTTTGTCTATTTAAACTCGGATTTCAGGAAGCCCACTTGAGTTCTTCTACAAAACTTCAACAAATGTGGTTTCAGACAGTCCTCACAACACCAGACAGACGGACAACTCTTTTTTATAGGTAGAGTGATAATTCATAATAGATCGCACGTTAATCAGCGATCAAGGGCGTTACCTGACTGTGTGAAGGATCACCACTGTTGGCACTGTTCCCTCCACGTTAATCGGCGATCAAGGGCGTTACCTGACTATGTGAGGGATCACCACTGTTAGCACTGTGCCCTCCACGTTAATCGGTGATCAAGGGCGTTACCTGACTGTGTGAAGGATCACCACTGTTGACACTGTTCCCTCCACGTTAATCGGCGATCAAGGGCGTTACCTGACTATGTGAGGTATCACCACTGTTGGCACTGTGCCCTCCTAGGCAAAGGGGCGCGATTCCATTTCTAGCCTTGTTTCCAAAAGCAAATCATAAACAGTTTAGCCCGATTGAATGAAAAATTTTGATCTTTTGCAGAATGGGGATTTAATATGGCCGAATCTGCCTAGTCATAACAACAGCCGTTTCGTAAACACGTCAGAGCATCTGATGTGTGTGTGTTGTAACAGTTTGAAGTTGCTACCAGTAGAAGGTATAACAAACGCATTTTTTTAAAGTACCGCAGAAACAAACTTTCAAATCGTAAAAAAATGGGTATTATTTTTTATGTATGCTGTTTGGTTTCGATTTAAACTATACTCGCTTAAATACCGCTGTTACTGTAAAAACTATGTAAAAAAAATTGTCACTTAAAACAACAACCAACACTTCAAAGCTGTTCTTTTGAAGTTTTTTATTATTATTAAGAAACAATACATCTCTTCAGTGCGACCGTTTTAATCCATTTTCGGATCGCACTTTCACAAAGTTAAACTCTATGTAAGTTCTGTTGTTAAATAACTGCTCCTCAATAATTTACGTGGCAGGTTAAAAATATATATATATATATTCGTGTGCGTAGAATATATGAAACCAGAATGTTTTCTTGCGCTGTTTTACGTTGATCTGAGTTAATATAATTATACTATTATCCCACATTTGAAAGTTGACTATAATGAAGTAGAAAGATTTGTGTGGGGAAAGTCTCGTGTGCTGAAAGAACTCTCTTTTTATCACTGGATGGGAAACAAGAAACTTTGTTTGCATTAGCACAAACCTACATATAGGTTAATTGGCCGGTATTCGCCGCTGGGATTGAACTTCGAATTTTAACGTTATAAGCCTTAAGGCTATCGCTGAACCAGAGGGGACAACAAGAGCATCAACAACAAAACTGACCAATTGCTTATTGAAAATACACTCCTTATAGTAGGTCAGTTAATATCGGGGGTGTGAGGTACCAATATTTCCTTCTTCTGAAGGAAATATTGATACGTTGGCTAGTTGTTTATGAGGCCATATTAATTCTGAAGGAATATATTGATACCTTGGCTAATTGTCCATGAGGCCATATTAATCCTGAAGGAAATATTGGTACCTATATTAATAGGCTATATTAATCTTTAGTTGTCCATGAGGCCATATTAACATTGATACTTTGGCTTTTCCTTCAGGATTAATATGGCCTCATGGACAACTAGCCAAAGTATCAATGTTTCCTACAGGATTAATATAGCCTATTAATATAGGTACCAATATTTCCTTCAGGATTAATATGGCCTCATGGACAATTAGCCAAGGTACCAATATTTCCTTCAGGATTAATATAGCCTCATGGACAATTAGTCAAGGTACCAATATTTCCTTCAGGATTAATATAGCCTCATGGATAACT